TGCATTGATTTTTTCGTCAGATCTCATACCTATCTTCCAGACACTTGCGCAAGATTGGTCATTGATCATTTTATAGACTACAAATGTTGCTCGCCATCAGATATACGATGGAAAAAGAACATTGACCTGATTCTCGGCGGCTTCCTTGCTGATCGGTCCCGCCCACCCGATATTCGACTACACGCTCTGAAAGCGGTGACAGATGTATATGTGATCGTCAGCGTTACTGATCAACCGGAGATTTTCGAGGCTTTTGCGGTGACAGTCTTAGCATATGTTCGAGATGAGAAGGATATTGCAATACTGCAGGAGTTCATTGATTTCGCTGTAGTGATGGCCGAACAAACTTTGGACGACAGCTTATTCCAACATGCTGTAGACATTATGAGAAGTGTGGTCACTAGTGACCGAATGCAATCACCTCTTGGATCGCCTCCAGGGACTCGTCATGGCATCTTGTCGAGCAAGTCTTCATCTTCATATGCCGCACCTCCTATTGTGCACAGCCCTTCCAATATCGTTGTGAGAGGTTTTATTCAAATATTCATGCGAACCATGTTTACAGATGTCTCCAAGTCATTACGGGTGTTTGAAGAATTACTTGCCATCGCACAAGCTTCTGACTGCCCAACAGACTCTCGCATATCTGCTCTAAAAATGTTCTTTCGGCTTCGGGCAGACGCGATGAACAGAATTTTCCTCACACCCTTCACAGAGTCAGATAATTTAGCCGCTTCTCTCTATCGAACAGCTGAATCTCTGGCTAAGAAGCACGCTGCAGATGAAGCCGCTCAGCAAAGTCGATTAGCTCGAGCAGATGAATCTAATTCTCGCCTATCTCGAAGTACGTCAGGCGGTCAAGCACAGTCTCTTCCCAAACAGAGTTTCAGATTAGGCAGTGGCATGAATCGAACTTTACAGCGTAACCACCAAATGTGGATGTCACCAGACGCCGATGCCTTGCCAGACACTACAAATGGCAATGCTACTATACGCCTAGTTTCAATAATTGAAGATGTGGATCAGAAATTCATTGCGCAAAATTTGGATGCTCCAGGATTGATTCATGATCAAGAGAACTCACAACACTCTGCGGTTCGAGATACTATCGCTGAAGCAGATCCAGTACGGGAGAACAAACGGGATTTCGCGGTAGAAGCTCCCGACGATCTCTCACGTACCTCTATCGAGTCCATCCATCCGGATCTGACTGATACTGAAGAGAAAGGGCCTGACCACAGCGATAACTTGAACCCTTACCAGCCACTTGTGCAGACTGTCTTGAACATTGAATCTTATCTCGATGTTCTTTGTCAGCTCCTTGATGGCGGGTGTGATTGGGAAGTCTACAGCTATATTCTTGTTCACCTGCCATCTCAGCTGACCAACCAAGCCCTTTTCAAGTCATCAATTCCCCAGATAAAGAAGCTCAGATCTTTGCTATGCGATTTGATCAGAGATAGTAGTTTTCAAGAGCCCCCGGTATCATCTGGATTGCGCAAAGCTGACGTAGCCATTTGTCTCTTTCACGTCTTGACAATGGTCACAAGTTACAACCGAGAATTTTCCAAAGCCGAGGAAGATGAGATTGTTAGGACATTCTTACAAGGTGTAGGCGCGTGGGAGCGGGCTGCCAAATGCTGCATCCATGCCCTTTCGATTTGCTGCCATGAACTTCCTGGATCGACTAGAAAAGCTCTTGTGACTATTCTTCAAAAGATGTCGCAGATTATCACTCAACAACATGTCGCAATTCATATTCTAGAGTTTTTGGCTTGTTTGTCCAGACTCCCGGAACTATATGCCAACTTTCGAGAAGAGGAATACCGAACTGTTTTCGCTGTATGTTTCCGATATCTTCAAAATGTACGAGATCAGCCGAGCAAGGACAACAGTTCAAAAAATAACCTCCCCCGAGCTCGAGTTGCCTCGGGACCACTTTCAACAGAGAGTAATTTGGCAGATGCAAGCGTGCAAGCAAGCAGCTCGGATGATTTACCACAGTATGTGTATGCTCTTGCATATCATGTTATCACCTTCTGGTTTCTGTCCTTGAAACTTACTGATCGCGCTGGTCAAGTTGGTTGGATTGCTAAGAACCTCGTTTCGACTGATGCGAATGGAAAGGAGAAGATCGATGAGCAAGCACAAGTCACCTTGGACTATATGCAAAGAGTTGCTTATGCTGATGTGGACGAATCCTCTGCCGATCCAGACTTCATCCCAGAACTGTATGGTGAAATACTGAAAAAGCGCTGGATCATTGGCCATAGTGTTGTCACCATTGAACAGGCTACCCACAAAGGCTGGGCCCAAATCACTAAGCGCCATCCGTCAGGTACTTCTTGTTATATGGTTCGTGAAAAGTTTAGCCCGCCGCCTCCTCATCAGATCTCTCTCTCTACCGATGCTTTACGCGACGCAAAACACTCTAATGCCAATGTTGTTCTCCCCAGCCACCTCCTCCTACAATTGACCGCCTCAATTCCGCAAGGCACTGAGTTCACACGCCCAATTGCTCTTCCCGATGACGACATGACCAGGCGTGCTGTAAAGGCTCTGGATCGCAATCTTACCGTGGATGGGCACAAGGTTGGTGTCATTTATATCGGCGATAAGCAGACACAGGAAGTCGAGATACTTGCTAATATCACAGGCAGTGAGGAATACTATACATTTCTTGCAGGGCTTGCGACAGTGACCGAACTCAAGGGGGCCAAGTTCAATGCTCAAGGTCTTGACACAACGTACGGTACGGATGGAGAGAAGGTATTCTGCTGGAGAGATCGGGTTTCTGAAATAGTTTTTCACGTGACAACACAGATGCCGACAAATCTTGAGATGGATCCACAATGCGCTCAAAAGAAGAAACATATTGGTAATGACTATGTGAATATTATCTTCAACAACTCCGGCTTGCCGTTCAAATACGACACATTTCCATCTGCTTTCAACTATGTCAATATTGTTATTGCTCCAGAATCCCGTCTCTCTTTTACCGCTGCTAGAGATCCACGACAAGGACAATTGCGAAAAGACCCATACTACAAAGTTCAGGTCATGAGCAAACCTGGATTCCCGGAGATCTCCCCAGCTGCTGAGATGAAAATTGTCAGTCTGAGGAATTTGCCGGAGTTTATTCGCTTGCTAGCAATGAATGCTTCAGTCTTTTCCTCGGTCTGGGCAAATCGTGAGGGCGGAGAACACGTTTCACCATGGCGCAATCGTCTACGTGAGATCAATCGGCTCAGGGCAAAGCATGCACCGAAGCGATCTGATTCTACTCATAATTCCCCACCAGGTACATCCACTGGTGCAGTTTCCGAGGCTAAGGCCCGCGAGAGCATGACTAGTATTCGCCGGGCTTCTGTCGCCAACTTCAGTTTTCTATCTAGTTCAGTTGACGCTAGTTCTCAAAAATCGTCGGTTTTGTCTACGGCAGAACCGGATAAGGACACAATTGGGGATGAGCCAATGGTTGATAGTTTAGACTTCTCGAGATGGGCGTAATATAAAATGTGAGGCGTTGGGTTGAAACGACTGAAATGATTGGGAAATACCACAAAAGTTTTTATCTTATTTTATCTTATTTTATCGTATATTCTTTCGTTTAGGAGCTGGAAGGGGCAGTCATGAGATGGTGGAGGTCCAGCTTGACATAAATCAGGTTGGTAAATCTCTATGAGCAAAGAGGGAGCTTTTGTTTTCTTTCAGTGACCATTTGTAAACACACCGTGACATAGCTTAACATCTAAATTAAGTATTTATCTATGGATCTCGCTACATGCTCTGCCTGTAAATCGATTTCATTGGAAACTTCAGTATGATTGGGTGGTAGAACCCATTTTCAATGCTTCGTGAAGCCGCAACCGACCAAAGCGAACATAGCTATGTGCGCACAATGCCTGCAAAGCTTCAGGCCCGACCTTATTGACACAAAGTCATTTGCAGAGTTCCAGTCTTCCTTGCCGATGTTTCAGAATCGGAAACATGAACCTTTTCAGAGACTTTGAAATCGATGACTTACCCAGTCAGCATGGAAACTCCTGCATTCATGGCCGCGGATATTGGATTTCCTATGTTTAGGGAGGCAAGCTTCGAGTCGCACTTGGACAAAAAACATATACTGTGTCCGATTCTTTCTTGTACCAGATGTTATTAATGGTGCAACGCCCATTTTATCCAGTAGTCTTTTTTTTTTTTTTTTTGGAAAACTAGAATCTCAGGCTGATGGGAATCTCGTTATTGACGAAAAGTAAAGGTAGATTGCTCTGGCCTTCAGAATTCTCAGTCATTCCAAACCTCCTCAATATCTCGCTCTCCCACCAAGCTCCCTAGCCAATTTGCCTTCCCCTTCACTCTCCACCCCACCTGCTCATCCCCATTGCCCAATCTCTTAATCCAACCCCCCAAAGCTGCAACCACCGCACTAGCGTCCTCTCTCATGACTCTGATCCAAACGTCCTTGTCCTCCGTCTTCAAAATATCAATAGAGATAGCAGAGCCATGGAGTCCCAGAAATTGCAAAAGTGCTGAGGTGATATACGACTTTGCTGTAATATCATCTAGTTGTGGCTTCTTGAAAGATGAGGTCTGAAGTTCCAGATGGATGTAGGAAAAAAGTGGTGTTGTGATAGTAATGGCTTTGTGCTCGTGATTATTCTGTTTGCGTTTTGAGGGGATAGATGACGGAGGTGCTTCTTGCATTGGAATATCTACGGTGGTTTCTGTAGTTTGAGCCATTTTTCTACAGCTCGAAGGGAGCTATTTCAAAATTTATAATTTTTATATTAATGTTCAGAGTCCTGGTGGGATACAAGGGAGGAGATTCAGCCGTGTCGACGTTTTTAGACGGCTGGTCCAAGCTTTCCTCAGCCTTGCAGCTTTCTTTGGCATCTCGGACAATCTCAACCCTTTCAACTATATAAATCCTAGCCTCTCAATTCTGGAAGCCTTCTCATTACAACTTCAACTCCAGCCAAAAGATCACAACAAACATAATGACTGAAAACTACGTACCCCCTAACCAGCAGCGCAATCTCCGCGCATGCATGGTCTGCTCAATTGTCATGACCCAAAACGTACGCATCAACCTTCCCTTTATTCTTTCCTCCCGTCTCTACTTGGTAGTCCAAAACTAACATACGTACCTCCAGCGTTTTATGCGAGAAGGGTGCCCCAATTGCGAAGATTTTCTCCATCTGCAAGGATCTATGGAAGCGATCATCGACTGCACATCTCAAGTCTTCGAAGGTCTCATTACACTGGCCGATCCATCTAAATCTTGGGTCGCGAAATGGCAGCGGCTGGATGGATATGTGAGAGGTGTTTATGCGACGAAAGTCAATGGACAGCTACCAGAAGAAATTGTTTCGACAATGGAGGAAGAGGCGAGGGTCAAATATATTCCGTAAGTTGTTCTGTACTGGGAATGGGGGGTTCTGTGACGAATCGGAGCTAACATGAATGCAGGAGAGATGGAAGTGCTACGGAAGCGGATTAAGAGATTAGAGAGATGGTTTGCAAGCAAAGGTAAGAGCTATCGCCGTTTGGGTATGTGATGATGAGGAGTCTATATGATATTTGGCAACTTGTGTAGTATTTCCTATCTTTGGGCTTGCCATAGACAACCATATCATCGTCTTAGAGTCGTCTTCTTCCAAGCATAACAGGACTACAGTATCATGAAATTTACTGATTTTTCATTAGGTCAACTACTACGCTTTATGGGATAGGAATTTGGATCTGGACAAAGGGTGCGTAATGTTCGTAGCGCGAGGGAGTTAAAAGGAGTTTGGACATGGTATTGGAACAACTACAAAGAAATGAGATGAGGAAAAGCTCTGAAGCGTCCGATTGAATCAAGCCGTCTCAATCGCCCCATATATTATAACAAATTTAATTTCACGACCATTTGTGGAAGAATGTAGACTTCTGAGAGCCGGGTAAAATCATTGACGCACAATCAATGAAGGCGAACTGAAACTCCTTGAAAGATAGGAACATCCTGCATTGACTCTTCTACAGATGCATGTGGTATCAAATATAACGCCATATTCCTTCCGTCGTAAAGTACCTCTAAATGTAACTCCGTGCAATGCCAAACCCTCATGATCGCTAGGTAACTAAAATCGTGGTCTTTTATGAGATGGTCCTCCATTTGATTGCTCCCTGCTCCTCTTGCGCTCAATTTCTTCCTTCATAATACGCTCTGCCTCGCTTATCTTTTTCGGCTGCTCAAATACGGGAGCCTTCTTACCCCCTAAAGCATTCTTTTTGGCCGCTGCAAAAACGTTCTTTGGTTTGCTCTGGAATCCCATCTTTAAGGAAACTTTGGCCGGGGCTGGTGGCTCCAGATTTGGAGACTCTGCGATTTTATCATCACCAGTGACCGGTGTCTCAGAAGGCTTGTCCTCGTCTTTTGCAGTTTCAAGAGAAGGCGCGTCACCAACCGGTGTCTTGCTCTCCTCTGGCTCAATAGTTTTGCTTTCAGGATTTGAAACGGCAGGCTTAGCACCGAAGCTAAGCTTTATTTTCTCTCCTTCCTCTCTTTTAAGGCCTCGTTCTTGCTCATCCACCTCGGATTCTCCACGGGCTTCAGCATCTTGCTTTGCTCGACGTACCTGCTCCCTGATAAGCATTTGCTCCCGCTCCTCGTCACCCTTGTCCTGCCTCTCTTTCTTCCTAATTGCATCTTGCCGTCTTAACGCTTCGGGTGAGTTGTCGATCCAGGCTACTTGTATGCCTTTATCCGTTTCCTCTACTCGACATAAGCTTTCTCTGCCCAGAAATTTGGCAAACTCTGTCAAGGATGGCCATTTCGTTGAATTCATATGAATATGCTCCTTGTTGCTGATGTATTCCTGGTAGAAATGATTCAAATTGACTTGTTTTTCGCCATGAGATGTTCGTAACAATTGTAGAAAGTCACGCTGGAATTGATTACTAAAATCGTTGATATATTTCTTAGGATCCTCGCCGATTAGGAGGATTTGTCGAACATGCGACTCAGATTGTACATGCATTTTGAAGCCATTTTCGTCGCGCATTTGTCTTTCGCAAGCCTGTCCATAATGTTAGTTGGCTGATATGTATCATCGGGAAGTATATACATACTTGGCAGTACCATCGTAATCGCTGAAGTCCTTTGGACTTTAACTTGTTGTTTAAAAACTTCGTTGATCCAACTTCTGCTTTTGGCATCTTGTAGACTTATTAAGGGTTTGGAAGATTTGCACGTTTTGCGAGTTCGAAACCAAGTTGAACTTTTAAAATATTGCGAGAAGGGGAAATTTGATTACGGATTTTGGATCGAAAGGTCCTGGATATCCTATTGAAAATTACTCTTGAGAATTTGATAGAGTAATCGTAAGTCCTAGACGATGGACATTATAGCAGAAAACGATGTAGAAGTCCAAAAAGTATATATATTACGCCGCCGCCGCCTCGGCCATTATTGTAGCCTTGTGGTCTGTGCACGCTAATCATTCACTGACACGACTGGTCTAGCCTTTCCACGTCGTGCTCGCCACCACCTCGCTTCCAGGCCAGGCTTCGCTACCCTGATTGTTCACAAGAGGGTTGAGCCTTACAATGATATCTTTTTCCCTCTCCTCTTTTACATTGACATGTATAATTGATATAATCGAAAACATTGGCTATAGCTAAGTGTATCTGCGAGATCACAGAACTTACTGCACAGCGTTGTCTACCAACAGCCGATGAAGGACGACTATACACCTTGAAGAATGCTAAGATCAGCCCGAGCCGCGCCCGTAGATGGGCATTGCCGTAGGCCATCAGAGAACTCTCTAGATACTCATATACAAGCAAGATAGTAATAATTATCGATGAGCTAAAGCCGTGGCCTTTGGAGATGCCAAGAGTTGTTTGTCACGTCTGTCAATTTATACTGGGAAAGTATGAGGTAACCTTAATTCGGTTGGACCGAGTATCAATTCCTTGTAGCTATTGACAATCACGTAGTTGCAGCATAGATGGAAGATATATTCAACTAGAGAACGAATGAAACTTTGACTGGATAGAAACTACTCGATTTCAAGAGATAAAAGCCAACTACCTACCATGTAGCCATAGGGTAGATTTCTGTTGGTACGACAAATACGTAGAGATATAAAATAGGGGGAGAAGTCGGGTCACGTGTTTCGGGTCATGCCTCTCGAGAGGTATGTGAATGTACACCTAGAATGTTCCCTTCAAGGTCGCTCTTATAAGAAAATAGCTACTACCTTGTAGTAGATCTTAGAGCTATGATAAGACTGTCCATAGCTTAGATAGTTTATTGATTTCACTATATGGTATCGGGATTTAAGAATTCCAAGTGCAATCATCAATCAGACTGAGAGGGAGCATATTGAATTTCTCAAAACAATATATGAGTCTGGATTCTAAAAAGGATGTAGAATGGAAACTTGCCCGATAATCTGAGTACATACATGAATAGGTGAATAGAAGCCAAGGTTGGTATAGAACTACACCCGCGACGATGTGAAAATCGATACGGACGGGTCATATGAAAGTTCTCGTACTTTTTCTTCTATGAATGGCGCCGGGAAGGTCTATTAATAGTATCCCGTATAGGTAGACAGCAAATGAACGAATAGGAAAGATTATCTACTCGGTAGCTCGAATTTTAATAATGCATTGCCTCAATTGTCTCCTAAACTTTTTCCTAACCTTGTACCTGACTGACCACTCAAAGTGTGCTAAACTCGAGACATTCCTAGTGGATCCCCTCTTCATTCCATACGATTTCCCGGACTCCTTTACAAACTACTAACTACAACAATTTCAACACTTTACCTTTCACATCTTGCAATCTTCTCGTCGATAAATGTTCAACAGTCTCAAGATCCTTTCGTTTTTAGTCATTTTTTAAAGAAGAAAATACACGACCTCACTCGTTCGGTCGGACAATCATCTATGCCATTCAGTCGACTTTTGGGTTTCACTCGGACAACCTTGATCGAAATTTAATCGGACTATAAGAATCATCAAAAGAAAACATCCATTAAACATTTACTCACCATTCATCGAAAAGACGAAACATTTTTGAAGGAGTCTTGGTGCTAGATCAAAGGAAACTTCGAAGATTGGAAAGAATATTTAGGAAATCAAACAGGAAATTTGGGGCCATTTAAGGGCATACGAAAATATCAACAACAAACACGATGCGGGCTCAACGATCATTCCAACTATATTCCATCATCTTACTCTGCCTTTTCACTTTTGTAGCTGCATGGCCATGGCCAAGATGGCTTCCAGAAATGGACTCTTTAATTGTAGCTCGAGCAGACAGTTCAAGCTCTTCTGCTGCTGGTAAGAAACTCATAATCAATCTTCCCCGTGTTTACGTGCTGACATCCTAAAGATAGCACAGCATCCGAAACTGCTTCCGCCGCTGCTTCGGCGACTACAGCCCCAAAGTCTACAAACACAGCATCAGAAACAGGTTCCGAATCTGCAACCAGTTCCGAATCTGCAACCGGTTCCCAATCAGCATCGAAAACAAGCTCAGGCTCAGGCACAAACAAAGCTACCACTTCTGGATCGAAAACAACATCAGGTACTGCCAAATCTGGATCATCCACATCCATAAGCAGCTCTGGTGGCAACTCGACTTCCTACAATGCAACTTACCCAGCAGGTGGAATTACTCTCTTAACACCTGCCGCCGCTTCCACTGAATACTACAAAATTGGTGACTATATTACTTTTGTCTGGAATTATACATCTCTCGAGGCTACTCCTACCGCCGTTAACATTATGGCCACATGCAAAGCCAATGCTCAATTATACACCATTGCCACAAACCAAACCGTCTCGCATTCCACACAGGCAGTAACCTGGGATACTGGTTCCTATCAATCAACTGCTGTTGGAAACCCTCTCCTTACTGAAACCTACACTTTAATTATCTACGATGCAGAGAGTAGTATCAGTGCGACTTCTGAACCCGGATACTTGTCAGTATATGATACATATGCTTTTGGGATGTACACGCCACAGCCATATACTCCTCTCAGTGATTGGGTATGTGCTACATGCAGTGGGGCATTATCTGACATGGAGAGAAAAGCATTAAAATTGATGTTTGGTATGGGAGTTATTACTGTGCTTAGCTTCACCTGGTTCGTCACTGGATTGGGTGTTATCTGGTAAAAAAATTGTCATGAAGATTATAACTTTTTTCTCATAATTTTGGGTGTGCTGGATTGAAGGACACGGAGGAGAAGAACATTAAGATATTGGGTTGCATATGGGAAACATTCCTTTGGGCAAGATTTGAAAATGAAAAATCCGGGTTGGGGTAATGGTGTTTTGGGGTTTGGGCATATGTGCATTTTCTGGATTTAGCACGTTGCATGCATGCATAGATAGCAGGGAGAAATTTACAATTACTTAATGAACGATCGAGAGCAAATTGGTTTATAATAGTCAATAACAGTTCTTTTCTCTGGTTCTATATTTGTGAATTTGTGCATTGTAGATTTATATCTATAAAATTACAAGAGTCTGCCTCGTTAGGATATACAGAGCACAAATTGGTATATCCATATATGTCCTTCAGTACATACATCCATATCATACACTGGCCTATCTTCTGACCGTCACACCGAAAGTGGCTCGCTATCTTCATTCTCTTAAATAAGCTTCAAACTAAATCCGGCCCCTTTCTCAACCTCCTCTCCCCCTCCACTCCCAAACACTCCACTAAAATCCAATACACCTCCCAATCCCTTAGGAGCCTCTCCTCTCTGAGGAGCATCCGGAGTCCCTCTCCGTCTCTTCTTCTCCAATCCAGCTTTACTTGGAAATGTAGGAAACATATCTTTACTCTTCATCTTCGGATCTTCTTTGAAGTATTCATGTTCCAGAACCTCTTGTGCAGAAGGTCTTTTCGCAGGATTTAAGCTGAGGAGAGAGGAGAGTAGAGATGATCCAGCTGAAGTCAGGAAGGGGAATTTGGAGCGCAGGACTGAGCCTTGAGTGGCGGGATTAGGGTTTTTAGGAAGACGGAGAGAGCGTGCGTTGGGGAGACGTTTGAAGGTGGGCCAGTTGGATTCGGTAGGGAGGCCGAGGAGTTCGAAAATCTTGGATAGTTGATCGACTTCATTTTTTCCGGGAAGTAGGGCGTCGTTGCTGAGGAGTTCACCAAATATGCAACCCACGCTCCACATATCTACACTTTTACCATATCGTTCTTCGCCGAGTAACAGCTCGGGACTGCGGTACCAGAGCGTAACGACTAATTGGGTCATTTTTGGAGCTGGATCGCCGCAGTAGCGGGCCATGCCAAAATCAGCGATTTTAAGGACGCCTCGATTGGAGAGGAGGAGATTGGAGGTTTTTAAGTCGCGGTGGAGGATGTAATTGTTATGGAGGTAGGCAACGCCTGTTGTGAGTTGATGGAGAAGTAATTTGAGTTCGGATGGGAGAAAGGGTTCCGAGAGGGATGTGAGGAGAGTTTTGAGGTCGTGTTCAAGGAAGTCAAGAACGAGGAATATACTGAGGGGTGTATGTTAGCTATAAGTTTCTATATACGTGCAAACGGGAAAACGTGCAAGCAAAGATTGAAATGGCAGAACTGAAATGGAGAAAACGTACTTCTCAATCTTACTTGTATCCTCTCCAACAACCACTTCCCTTAACCTCACAATGTTCTCATGCTCACAGTCCATCAACGTTTGTATTTCCCTTAGACCCGTTACTGGCACTCCGTCATTGGCATTTTCCATCTTTAATCGTTTTAGCGCAACGACTTTCCCCGTCCGACTATCTTTCGCGCGTGATACCCATCCATAAGCCCCCTCCTCTATATCATTCAATTTCTCATAATCTTCCACGCTGCGACATTTCCCCCAAATGGGTGCTGGAAATCGCAATAGTTTGGCAGGCGGTAAATCGAGCTTTTGAGCGGGCGCCGGAGAGTGTGATAAACGGCGACGCTTCGAGGGTCTTTCGGCGGATGCTTCTGGTTCAGAAGGAGCTTGAGCTTTGGATTTCGCAGCAGAGGCAGCGGCAGCTTGCTCATCGAGCTTCCTCTGTTTTTCTGCCTTCAATCGTTTCTTCTCTTCCTTTTCGCGTTTGCGCTGCAGATCTAGCGCAGCATCTTCTTCGTCATCTGCCCAGCGCGACTTGGCTTGAGTCGACATAATTGTACCTTGCTGGTTATAAACTCCAGCCTTCTGTGAAGTGTGCAATTGAAGCTCAATACGCCCCTCGCGCGGATTCAACAACCGTTCTGTCAAACTCGATGAGTCAATTCTTTCTGAGGTCGCGCAATATTGACCTTTTTAAATATGCAATAAAATATGCACTTCTTATAAAGTTCCAAAATTTTATTTCTGACCTCTCAAACACAACAAGATTTTCGATAGTGGTAGATAAGGTCCTAGGTTGCAGTGAATTTTGAAGTCAAGGCTGAGGATTTTGGGTCACCAATGACGACAAGGCCAGGAGACGAGGCAAGGCGAGGTTGCAAGGCTTTCAATTTTTACAACCTCTCTTTCTACCCTTGCAATGAGCTTTAAAAAGAAGTGAAATGTACTGGAAACATTAGAGAAGACTAAAAATGAGGTCTAGATTATTACTGCAAACGCGTAATTCTTTGCGTTGTGCTGTGAAATGCAGATATGGAGCTTCGTATTCGGCTTTGAGATGGTCTTCAACGGAGACGAGACAATGGTCTACACCCCTTGCAAAACAGCTTTCTGAAGCTATCACAGTATGATTTTTGTATCTTTTTAGATACTCGGGTACTTTGCTGATATGCTCTAGGCTACAGGACCAATTCCTTTGGCTTCATTTATGCGGATGTGCTTAACGTCCGATGTGGGTGGATATTATACCTCAAAACAAGAAGGAAGAGATCAGTTCGGACAAAAGGGCGATTTTATTACCTCGCCAGAAATATCACAGATATTTGGGGAATTGGTTGGTATTTGGTTTGTGGCAGAATGGATGGCTCAAGGGAAAAAGAGAAAGGGTGTTGAATTGGTGGAGATAGGTCCGGGGAGGGGCACTTTAATGGATGATATGCTGAGGGTCTGGTCTAGACATTCTTGTTCTAGTTTTGAATGTGGGCTAATATGTTGTATAGACAATCAGAAACTTCAAGCCAATGGCTGAGAGTATAGAAGCTGTCTATATGGTAGAAGCAAGTCCTGCTTTGAGAGACGCGCAGAAACAGCTTTTGTGTGGGGATGCCCCTATGATAGAGACCGAAACAGGATTTAAGAGTACCAGCAAGTATGCTGGCATTCCTATAATGTGGACTGAGAATATGAGGTTTGTACCTTCTGGTAAGTTTGTGCGGGAGTTGCAAAATTAAAGATCTTTCATTGAACTTTTATAGGCGCGGACAAAACTCCGTTCATCGTTGCCCACGAATTCTTCGATGCTCTCCCAATCCACGCTTTCCAGTCCGTACCTCCGAACCCCAATGCTCCAGAGCCTACCACAATTCAAACGCCCACTGGTACTCATCCACTTGCCCCCTCCACCTCCAAATCATCTACAGCCAAAACACCTCAGTGGCGCGAAATGGTAGTCTCGCCCACCCCGCCAAATAGCACGCACAACGATGTCCACACGCCAAAATCCCTTCAATCTCAATCTTCCCCTCCTGAATTTCAACTTACGCTTTCCAAAGCCTCGACCCCGCATTCCCTTTATCTTCCCGAAATCTCCACTCGCTATCGAGCCTTAAAATCCATACCCGATTCACTAATCGAGATATCTCCTGAAAGTCACGCTATTGTCGCTGATTTCGCAAGTCGGATTGGTGGTTCAGAAGCAAACCCTAAACCTAATCCTTCGGGTGCCGCTCTAATTTTGGATTATGGACCGAGTGATACCATTCCAACCAATTCTCTTCGAGGAATAAAAGCACATCAACGAGTTTCTCCTCTTAGCGAACCGGGAATCGTAGATCTAAGCGCGGATGTAGATTTTATAGCTTTAGCCGAGGCAGCTATGAATGCGAGTGAGGGGGTAGAAGTTCATGGACCTATGGAACAAGGAGGGTGGTTAGAGAGTATGGGAATTAAGGAACGGGCAGAGATGTTGGTTAAGAGTTTGGGACAGAAAGACGATGAGGTTAAGAAGAGGGTTGAGGGTGCTTGGAAGCGATTGGTTGATAGAGGAGGAAGTGGTATGGGAAAGGTCTATAAGGTTATGGCTGTGGTTCCAGAGAATGGAGGGAGGAGGAGACCAGTTGGATTCGGAGGTGGGGTGATGGATTAGATTGTCAATGTTGAGAGGTACATCGTTGGCCCGACTGACTGCATGTTGGGTCGAGGATGTAAGAGCTTACCTTTTGTAGGTACATGTATCATAATTGTACTTGAAATATACCAAAATTTCTAGGGAAAGGCCTGAATCCCTTTAGGAGCCATTTCAGCTGCTCAAACAAAAGTGAGAACTAGGTGCCATACACACTGGGACGATTTACAGTCAAGATTGGCATTTAAAAGGGGTTGATTTGATTGCAATCGAAGCCTGGGAATTCATAACTTAATCGCCAGTCATTCACACTCTCTTCTAGTAGCATTTCGACACTTGAACCCCTTGGCGCAATCACCTGCATTTGAATCATCTTATTTGAAGCTAAAGGGTGATCTTGTGGCTCGAGTATATTTTCTACATGTATTACTGCTTATTGGCTGCCTATACATGAAGTGTCAAAAATCAGAAGAAATGCTTATACACTCAGAGACGACGTCTGAAATGATATTTGATGATGCATCTTTCAAGATATCTGCGCAAAACATATTATGACGCAATTGATAATTTAGTAAAGTCAATGTCATGTTGTCTAGGGCTTTGATGGAAGAGAGAATATACAAGATCAGTACGAGTTTGTAATGGTCAATAGTTTTTGTGTGAGATAGATGACTGTATAATTGACAGAAAGTTTGATTGAGGAACAAAGGGGATATAATCAGCTCAAAGTCTAGAGTGAAGAGTAGATATATAAGTCCAAGCGCTAAAATTCTGTGCATCTATTCGCTAGGCAGATTTACTATTAGTTAGAGGACTTGGAAGCGAAAAGCCTTTTCATACCTAGGTTTGTAGCAGTAGATTTCTTTTTACCGAGAACGATCTCTTGCTGAAGTGACTTCGAAGCCAAAAGGGTGAATAGTGAATTCAAGAGCTACCTAGATAGTTGAATAAATACCTATCATTAGATCATTAGAAGTAGAGATATAATAATAAGCGAATAACAGGTATATGCCCAAGGTAAATAATGCAATGAATCAGCCCACATGTATCTTGAACTCGGTTTTGGTTTTGATATGTATTTACTCGTGGTTTTCAGCAGATGTTCTACGTCGGTTGATACTTTGCGCTTCCTCCTCGAACCATAGCTTCTTGATTAGATGTTGTCGCCTGTCCGTAATAAGTAACATGAAGCTGTTATCCAAGCCCTTCTTCGTATTTACGGGTTCGAATACTAGATTAACACTCTATTCTTCTAATAATACACTCCACCTACTCTTCTCTAATTTCTAACCTTCAACTCCTTAAATGCTTTCATGTTATCCTTGATCGCAATCTCTACCGGCAACCTCTCCATACTACTCGCTCCAAAAAATCCATGAATTCCCTTCGTTCTCGCCAAAACATATTCCACATCTTTTTCCTCCGCAACAGGTCCCCCATGGCAAAGAACAATAATGTCCTCTCTAACCTTCACAGCCGCATCTCTAATCTCCTGAATAGCCTTCACACATTCATCCAAACTACTTCCGGTCTTGGCACCAATCGTCCCACTAGTCGTTAATCCCATATGCGCTACCAATACATCCGCGCCTGCTTTAGTCATTTTCACCGCATCGTCGGCGTTGAAAACGTAGGGTGTGGTGAGTAAATCTTGTTCGTGGGCGACACGGATCATCTCAACTTCTTTATCATATCCCATACCCGTCTCCTCTAGATTTTCTCGGAACCGCCCATCGATAAGTCCAACGGTGGGAAAATTTTGCACCCCGCAAAAACCGAGATCTTTCAGCTGTTTGAGGAAGGTGGGGATGTTACGGAAAGGATCTGTAGCACAGACGCCGGCGAGAACACCGGTATCGTTTACTATAGGGAGGATTTCGGAGGCCTGTCATGATGTGAGATTTAGGTTTTGGATATTATGCGACACGTGAAGATTGGAGAAACGAACCATCTCAACGACTACTTGATTGGCATCTCCATATGGCATGAGACCAGCTAATGAGCCACGTCCTGCCATACGAAAACGACCGGAATTATATATGATAATGAGGTCTGCTCCGCCTGCTTCCACAGACTTGGCTGATAGACCGATTCCTATTGTTCAGTTAGCTATTAATCCATTGGACCAATGGTTTATATTATATATGCAGAAACGAACAACCTACCTGCTCCAGCTCCAACAATAATCTCCTTATTCTTGACTGCATTTTTCAGTCTTCCTAGAACAACATCGCGGGTTGTAGCTTTCGTCATTGTGCAAGATCGAGTTGACAAATGGAGATATCACAACAGTGATAGTATGAGCAGGCACAATATATATCATTCCCACTGTCTCAAAAATCCGATACAAAAATTCTTAGTCGTCCAATTGTCACCAAATTAAAGTAGCTCTCTGCATAAAATGACGACATGTGGTGCGGGGGGGTTGACAGCTTGACTCGTAAACACGCCTGTGCAGTGTTGACGTACCCCTGGCAACTCCAGCCCTGGCCGAAATATCCCTCTAAGGCCCCTCCAAGGCCCCTCACATCTGGTAGATTCGACACTAGAATCTCACCGGCCCGAAATTACCTTGGAGCTTGTTTGTAGCTATGGTGGGGAACTTGATTTCATCGAGATGATATGCAATAATGATATGCATTGCCATTGTTGACGGATGAATTCGAATTGATCAACTCTTGAGAATTAACACGTTTACGAATTGAAACGTCGAATCGAGCGTTAGGCTATCAGCGTTGTTGCTTTGAAGTTGGTATTAGTTCACTCTTCTCATCAGCTGTGTCAATCTCAACACAATAGATCAAAAGAGAAACGTCACTCTGCAGCACCTACTAAAACAGGTAGGACAGCATATGCATTATTGTTACACCTCACCCATAACTTCAGATAAGTATACAAATTTCCTCATGCTTCACTCTGATCAACTTCACAAACCATAAACAAAATGTCACATCCTACTATCCTCCTCCTCGGAACCTTCGATTCCAAACGCGAAGAAATCCTCTACCTCCGCACCCAAATCCTCGCACACTCTCAACCCATAATCAAAGTTCTCCTCGCAGACGTAGGACGCGAGCCCGCCTCTGATCCTGAAATAAGCATTCCCCAATCCGAAATCCTCTCCTATGCCCCATCCCCCCTCGATTACTCAAACCTTTCTCGCGGTGAATACATCGAGCACATTTCCATCTGCGCCACAAATCTCACACGTTCTCTCTTCGAGAAAAACTCCATCCATGCTATAATCGGACTCGGTGGATCCGGAGGAACATCCCTCTGTGCATCTATCATGCGTAACGCTCTCCCTATCGGGTTCCCCAAACTTCTGGTATCCACAATGGCCAGTGGAAACACAGGACCATATGTCGGCGAAACAGATATCACAATGATGTATAGCGTTGTTGACATCGCGGGCACCAATTCCATTCTAAAAGGAATTTTAGACAATGCAGCTGGAGCGGTCTCCGGACTCGCGAAAGCATATCAGCTTCGAAGACAAGCAGAGGAGAACGAACCGAGGAAAAAAGGAATAGGATTAACCATGTTTGGCATCACCACACCCTGTGTAGAAAAAGTACAAGAAATCCTCCAAAATGAAGACAAATTAAAAAACGAATATGAGATATACATTTTCCACGCCACCGGTGCCGGAGGAAAAGCAATGGAGAGATTAATACGCGAAAAACGCATCGATGCAGTTCTCGACATTACGACGACGGAAATCACAGATCATGTTTGCGGAGGTGTATTATCAGCGGGTCCAGAACGTCTCTCCGCCGCGGCTGAAATGGGAATTCCGCAAGTGATAAGTGTGGGTGCGTGTGAGTGTGTGAATTTTGGACCGAGGGATTCGGTACCAGAGAAATTTGGTGAGAGGTTGTTGGTGCAGCATAATCCAGAAGTTACTTTGATGCGGACGAATAAGAATGAGTGTGTCGAGATTGGCAAGTTTATTGCTGGGAGATTAAAGGAAATGGCTAAGAGGAAGGATTTGGTCAAGATATGTTTACCGAAGAAGGGAATCAGTTTGTTGGCTGTGGAGGGAGGCAAGTTTTATGATGTTGAAGCTGATAAGATGCTGTTTGAAACTATTAAGGATGGGTTAGATGGGACGGGAATCGAGGTGTTGGAAAAAGATTATGCTATTAATGATCAGGAGTTTGCAAAGTTTTTGGCAGATCAGCTTGTGCAACTTGTTTCCAAAGCGTCTTGACGATATTGGATGGAGAGAGGAGCACCAGGTGAGATAATGATTTACTTTGTACCCCTATATATTAGCCAACTACTTATTTCTTCGTCTCATTACCTCATGAGCATCTTTGCGTATCATCCAGGTCATTCCGTCCATATAGAAAAGATTGCAGGCAATATAAACCCATTTCAAGAAACTTGATCCTATGAAACAAACGATAGTCCCAGAATTTTACTCTTTATTTATCTTCTTAAGCGATGTGTGGATTTGGAGAACAGGATACATACCGAGAGAACGGCATGTGATTTCCAGGTTTCAAGAACTATGCTCAAGATAGGGTTATAAAAAATCGATTCTCTGTTCACTATCCAGTACATCCCAAATCGTACGTCACAATGTATTCGTCACTCGCCGCCTCCATGCAGATAAGCAATAGGTATCAAAATGGCTCTGCCCACTCGCAATGGAGGGCGAAGATTCAACACCTGTATGTGGTGCCCTCTACGAATCTGTAGTTTTTTATTAGAATCTATAAAATTAAAATTAAATCATTGATATTTCTAGTAATCCATAAATTACAATAATCTGTTTCTTCGAATTATTATTTTTCAACGGTATTTTTACTTCTTGACTAATCTCTTTAATATTCTTATTTAATATAAAATCAATCTTCTATCAATCGAAGAATAAATAATACATAATAATAAAAAGTGAAAGACTTGTATCGTAGGTCATGAGCATATGGTGAATTTTGAAGTATAGGAGAATAAGGCTAATATTTAGTTTATAATAGAAAGTAGGCTCTGATTAACAATTTCTCGAGTACTTTTGAATTATAAAATGATCTAGTGGCTGTTACACTATCCTTTTCTTAGGTTAGCGTCGCCCTCCACCGCTTATAAGTAGTCTCTGTGCGCTCCACATTGGAAACGTCAGGGCTATCTTAATTTCTTTCTTTTAATACTACGTCTTCCTACCCTGTTACCACAGCTCGCCGAAAGTGTAAGGAAACAATCCGTCTAGCTCAATCGATTGACCAGAGAGTCAAATTTAACACACATTCCACTCTATCTGCCTTTCAGAATGTCGTCTGCAATCTTCTCCGCGAGGATATCTATAATAGAACATATCCAGTCAGCTATCTTGTGTCTCGATTTCTAGAGCAATGCATTAACAAAGAACTTTGGAATCATTCATCACTTACAGACTAAAGACGAAGGATGACCTGCGGGTAGGACGGGAAATGCCGAAGCATCTACCACCCGCAAACCTTGAACTCCATACACCCTTGCCTTGGAGTCTAATACTGCCATTGTATCGTTTCTCAGCCCCATTCGGCATGTACATACTGCATGATAACTAGGCGCGGCCCTCTCCTGAATTGTTGCCAACATCTACGCATAGGCAGAAACATCAAGGCCTAGAAACATTTCCGCGCCTAATACAATTTCACTGGTGCCATTATTGTTTGTAAAGACAGCGCGTGCTTGCCTGAATGCTGCTACAGCCACCTCCTGGTCTCGAGGATCGGTGAGCCAATTGGGATTGACCAGCGGGTATACATTTGTATCATTGGAAACTATGGTGATCTTTCCGGGAGAGAATGGTGTTGTTAAAACAACCGATGACGATACATATTGCCTGTCGTCGTCAAGAGTGCCACCGAAAGAGGCATCGAGGAATAGGTGCTCGAAGTCTGGCCAATCCGATGAGAAAGCGTCAATATCAGCTTTTGTTTGGTTGCTTATTGAACCAGAGGGGACATTCGCAAATCCTAGTAGACTATCAGTGTGGAAAATCGAGCATTTTCATGTGAACAGACTTAGAACCCGTTTTCCTTCTGGGAAAATTCTGAAGTGTGGAGTTAGACTGGATCATGAAACTGTTGAGAGCTTGGGCAGCTACATACGTCTTAAGCTTTCGGTTAACACCATCTTCTAGTCGGCCAACCTCTGAATTTACAGTCTCTGTAAGTTGGGGATGTTAACACTGCGGTCCTTGAGAGAGCCCAAGAGATTTTGACGAGAGTCATATGCTTGTAAAAACCATGGTCACCATCGAAGAATGGATAGTATTGCGCCCATCGTGTTCGTAGACCATGTGAAATGAAGATAGCTTTAGACTCGAGGACAGCATATATTCAAATGATGGCACAAAAGATCTACCGACGCGGAGTAGTCTCCATCATCTCCATCGTCTCCCAGTCCTCAGTCATCGGGGTATCATGCACTAACCACCTACCCTAAGTAGATTTGTCACCAACCAGCTTGTGATTGCATGACATACGAAAGGCATCAATCCACCCTGGTCTGGTGAATAGGACTCTAGATCAGTAAGCACATCGTCAGCCATGTAGTTGGTTGCTGGCATTCTGATACCCTGACAGTAGACAAAAATGACCCTTCGGCCGACTGGTCTCTGCATAGCAATGTTGGAAACTTTAGCGTGACCCTAGGGTATGTACCCCCTGCACCGGACCACCACCTTGGGGTGGCTATGCGGAGTCTAAATTACTTTTGAGATCTTTACAGCCTCGAGACTAATAGTGTCCGATTACAACCTACAGCATAGTAGTTTTGAGGTCTAATTTATATAACCTCAAAACTCTCCAAAAAAAAAAAATCAAACCAAGAGCTTGATTGAACTCTTCCAGCAATCCAGTTTTTTTGTTCAAGGGGATTTCAAAGCGAACACAAACCGGGTAGGGAGTATCGGCTTCTAGAGTCCACAAAAACCTCACATAGCTTCCTCGCCTAATGATACCTCCTTTAAAAATTGATGTCGATTACTCTGGTAGCACAATGCGACCCTTTGCGACTGGCTTATTTATCCCAGATAATCGAATACGGAAATAAAGACCGATTCTCACGATCCACCGAGTAGCCGAACTGTGCCTTTCAACTGCATGCCAAGGTGGAGATTCTTCTTCCCCCAGCCCAGAGGAACGGGCGGTTTGGGTGACATGATTGGTTATGGCTAACCATGGTAATAGGCGGGGTGGTTAGCTTTTTTTAAATAAAAAAAGATATACTAACACTGCCCCAGCCGCAACAGCCGTACAAACCAAGCTTTGAAGCACTTCCTTTTAGTAACTGAACAAACAACAAAGCTTTCTAATAGTGTCTAAATTCTCTCCACGGTTTAATTTTTAAGCAAGAATATAACATCATGGCAAGCTCTATCACTAGCTCCGTATCGAAGAAAAAAGCCACCATTGTGGTCGTACAGGGCTCTTTTCACACTCCGGTACCATATGAGGCCCTGAAAGAACACCTCACGTCCTTGGGGCATCTCACGATTCATCCAATTTTACCAAGCTGTACCAATATAGAGGACCCCGCCTTTCCGTCAATCACTCTTATCGATGATGCCCTCGCTGTACGTCTCGAAATCATCCGCCAAGTCGAATATGAAAACAATCTAGTCTTGGTAGCCATGCATTCTTATGGAGGATTGGTTGGTAGTGAGGCAATTCCCGAGGAACTTACATATACACATCGAAAGGCTCGAGGGCTTTCTGGAGGTGTAATCCATCTGTACTATTTCAGTGCATTCATCCTTCCTGTTGGGCAGTCGGTTCTTGGCGCTTTTGGGGAGTCTCCAAACAACGATATTAGGGTAAGCACTCCATGTTGTCCATTGTATTACCTATCAATTGAGAGAAAATTCAATATAATTCTAGCCCGATGGACGTTTTGGTATCCTCAATGGCGCTTCTATCCTCTATAATGATCTATCGGATTCCGATGCGAAATACTGGGAATCACAACTCATTCTTCAATCCTACAATGTTCAGAAAACGAAACTTACACGCGCTGCATACACATACCTTCCCTCGACTTATCTCATCTGCGAGAATGACCAGGCTGCCCCTTCGAAATACCAGGAGATGTTTGCAACTACCGCAGGCGCTCAAGTTGATAGGTGCAATGCGGGACATTCGGCAATGTTGAGTCAAACTGTATTACTTGCAGAGAAGATTTCCACAGCAGCTGAATTGGCTATTCAGAAGGCAAACAAAGGCACGTAGTCACCAGGAGAACCCGGCGACATGTTGCTAATGGCGGGCATGAATCAATAGATAGCGTGTTAGGGTATGAAGAATCAAGATATCTGATGACAACTCCAAGTTAATTGGTTTTATTTCTATCTGTGACTTTTGATTGTAGATTTGTAGATTTTTATTATTAGGATGAGAAGATTCGTTTAGGCAAGCGCTATGATAGACGCTGTTGTTGGCTAGCTTGAACTAAGCGATTGTTGTTATATAAGAGATAAAGAGATCTCTTAAGGATCGCTTTCCTCTTTAGCTTTCTTATTCTAGCTGATTAACCCCTATCGATATGCTCTAATATGTGATCGTGATAGGATTCTCTTAGATTTATTAAAGGTTGGCTCAGGTTTACCCTACTTAAGCCAGTGTATAGATCACTCTTTCAAAAGCTTTAGATCTCTGAATAGCTTCAAAAATGCCTGTTTAAATAGTAGAAATCATTTTTAAATTTAGTATTTCGAAAGCTGCGCAGTACGAGCGTAGGCGTAGGTCCTGAGTGGTATTGAAAATAACTACAAAGAGCGCTAACAAGCCCGTTGTTATTTTTAGCCACAAAGGGCCAAGACAAAGCTTGTTAGTCAATTGTTAAAAAGTAGATAATAAAAATGAGATCTCATCAGAATATTTTTCTTGTGAGTGTACGGACCCGGTATTCATTAAAAACAGGCCCTCGTACTACTACTGTCCACTCGCAATCATCATTCATGTACCATGTAACCCCCTCTTAAACGCATATTCGAATACTATAAAATTCAATAAAAATAATCCACCCTAGGTATACCCATCAAGTTTAAACCGCTTAGCCATCAAACTCCTATAAAAATACAATACGCGCATCTACCAAATATGCGTCTCGATTATGCCTAATGCAAACCCAAACCATTTTTCTCAAGATTGCTTTTGTCCCAACTCCATATCACCTTCATACTCATCATCCCAATCTAAGCCCGAACCGAGAATCTTTCTACCCACAAAAATTCCCACTGCGGTTCCAATACTAGCAACCAAAAACCATCCCTCAAACCAAGTCTCTACAAAGCCCGGTTCTAATGGACTGCCAAGTGCATCGCTCACTACACTTTTCATCTCCGATGGAAGATTACTTCTCAGAAGTAACGCATTAGATATGACATACATTGCGCTGATTTGTGCAACGATGAGTGCCAGATTAGCTTGAGCTTGGTAGAGGAGCGACGGTGAGATTTTGGTAAGCATATGGAAGGTCTGAAGTACGGAATTGAAGGAGGCGAAGAGGATCACAGCCGATAAGAGAAAGGATATTTGACGAGACCATGCTAATTGATCGAAGGCTGGATTTACGTGCTTGGCGAATAGAGAGAGAATACGATTAACCGGATCCGTGGATGATGAACTGAAAAATGCAGGGTCGGTCGGAAAGAGAAGACGTCGAAAAACAGCTAACGTAGTCGTTCCAATGCGATATATACAATATAACGAAAAGACGTAAGAAATGGGCGTGAAGACAATTTTACCGAGAGGTGAAGAGGATCGTTGTTTCGTTGCGTAACGGTTTTGCAACATTGATAACGAGGTGGAAAGATTCTGAGCCATAGATAAAAGTCCAGATATCTCCAGCTCCAAAGCCTTCAATTCTTGTACCTCAGTATTTCCCCGTATGCTTCCAATAACCTTCGTCATGAACCCTTCAGCTGGATGATCATTAACTTTGCGCTGAAGAGCTCTTAATCGACTTCGTTTTACAGCAAGCATGTCATTCGTAGCATTTAAGCCTGCTTGCTTCCGTGCGATATCAGCTTCCGAAACAGGTTTCGGCCTTGCACCAAATGTTTGCCAAGGGGCCGAGACAGCCGCAAACCCAGAAAGTAGAGCCATCAAAGAAATTCCGATGATACCAACTCTATCCAAGCAAGCTTCGCTAAGTCCTTTGCCGGGTACAGATGCCATTGTGTGGATATAAGTTCCCGGGATCCCTTTCCCCAGCCACCAAAAACCCATCAACCATATTGTAAAACCAGCAGCTTGAAGGAGCCAGGCAGTTGTAGAAAATCCTCCTTTCTTCGACACGCTGAATGACCACCCAAGCCCTGCAATAATTGATTGTAATTCGAGAAACGGTATGAGAACAACGAGTAGAAATAAAAGTGTAGGAACCGTTATCTTGAGCGCAAACGCCCTTGCCGCTGGATTTAGGTAATTCGAGATTTCGCAAAGAATCAATTCTGCGAGCACTGTAGCCAAAGCAATGGTAGTAGAGAATGAGATAGCTATAGCCTTTCTTCTTGCAGTTTTCTTGCCATGTTCTTTATGCGATTGTCGCAAACTGGGAGGGGCATCGCTAGGGAGATAATGAATATGATCTTCCTTGGATTGTTGTAGACCAGCTAATAATGGAAAGAGCTTCTGAAGAACGACGAGACTGACGACGAGAAATGTCAGAATCAAGGGGATAGAAGAGAAGGCGAGTGTCGAGAATGATGCAGAGCTCAAAGAGCGGTTTTGATGACCTGGCATGACACAGGCGTCGTCGCATTTATCGTCTGGAAGTATGGGCATTGATTGCTTGGGTAGATTTTGTATCTACCTTTACATTATAGATGCCGATGTTATAGGATATAAGAGAGGTATTTTTCCATACAGTTTGATTTTAGTGAAAGTTTGAAGTTCATGTGGTTTCTGGCTATTTTTGCATATGAAACTGGAATCTGGGAAGGTTCAAGAAAGGGCGACCGATTGGGCGACCGCGCGTTCGAATACGATAAGATTGTGATAATCTACACGTGATATAGTCACAAAGGAGGGGTGCACTATTTTTAGATAGAATGACCCCTCAGATCCATCCTTCTTGAATCTGTTAACGTGCTAGGCGGATTTTATTAATCTGTGGATCACCCGCAGACAACAAATTGGACTTTCAAAAACTTTTGATTATTCCGCTACGATGACGATATTGACCGTATAAGTACCAGGTACCTATGGATATTTCTATGCTACAAGTTCGTAAGTACCCCCTAGTCATCCGCACTTACAGTGAAAATTACCGCTTCATCAGATTGATTACAAATCCGAAGCACAAACAGACCATTCTTCAAGGGGTATCTGAACCAGAAGATACACAAAGACACATACTCCTCATGGTAACGCCTCCCAACCCTAGTACATAGCTCGATGTAAGGGATAGTATTTACCAATCTTCAGCCTTTCCGGATGAATCGAAAAGTGTTCTGGTCGACGAATCTATCCCCATCATAGATGCTGTAAGAACCAAGTCCAGGTATGCGAATATTCACAGCTAGAATACCCATGCCCATTATTACGCCATCACTTCTTCCTCTTGCTCTCTTACTCCTGCCCCTCCCTGTTGTCTTATTCTCGCATTCCCATCTACACCATCAGCACCTACAATTTTGTTGTCTTTGCCCTCGGCGTCAGTCTCTGATTCGTCCTCCATATAAATTCTGAGAAGTTCGAAGCGGTTGGCCAAAGGGGTGTCCTGCTTCTTTGTGACGGGAGGATTGTCGAATTGAGGACTTGGGCGCCTCGGTAGTGGTGCTACACATTCATCATGCGCCCATTTAATCTTCGAATTCTTATAAGCGCTAAGGAAGAGTTAGCTAGCTCTAAAGCAATAGTTGAAACCAACATACCCACGACTCATCATGCAAGTACGAGCAAACATTGCGTTATGAACAGAATTGGTCGAGATGAAAGCACTGGAACCACTGAACACAACCTTAATCAATACGAGGTTATGGATGTGCTCGAGATCATCACGGATGATTTCTTCGGTAAAGCTGGGGTTGCACTTATGAATGACAAGGTTTCTAGTAGCTCCCATGCTTATATTATTTGCGACATGATCTGGTAAGATGAATTGCCTATCATGCCATCGAACATCGACCTACTGACTGTCAGTTGTTTGAGTGTGGATACATACTCAGGACTACGCACCCTCTTTAAACGGATATACAAATCATTGCGTTTGACATGACGAAAGAACTCATTAGCTTGAGCCGGTTCGAGGAACGATACAATCGCAGTATGATCGTGATTGCGAAGATACATATCTAACAACATCCCTCCCCTAACAACATCGCAAACATCTGCATGTGTAGTACCATCTGGGAGGTTGTACAATTGTACAGTACGCTGGGCAAACTTCTCATAAGATGAGCCCTGAGACCTAGTCTCCGAATTGTTTTCGGTCTCAAAATTGAAAGTATTATTATTGTCGTCGTGACCACTGGTATGCAGATTTTGGTTCGGGGACCCTTGATACTGAAAGTTATGAGTTTGAGAGCTTTTGTGTTCTTGAGGACGACTTGCAAGTATTGTACCAGTTCGGGGTGTGCCATATGTATAAGCTTGGTGACCATGGTCAACTTGAGTCAATGGAGGAGGACTTTGTGTCATAAAGGTAGTGCTTTCATCAGGATCTTCATGCTCCGCAGACACATCCGAGGCAGCATTCTGATCAGCTCCATTTTCATCGTTACCCTTGATCAATAAGGCCTCCAAAAAGTTATGTTAGCAAACAGAAAATTTGTAGGTGCTTGGATGCCACAACTTCAAAAACTCACATTCAAGGTCTCCTCCGTAATACCACCTTCAATAAGTCTGCGTCGCAGGAACTCTAGATTATTGAATCAGTCTCTCACATTCATCATAGTAAGTAATACCTCTCATGCTGATGGATGAATAGCGTACCATATTCACGAAAGGATTGCTTCTACCATAAGAAAGAGTATTAGTTGAGATTTCTGTCAATTCACAATGTGCACTGGGGTAAGATGCTCACCAAGGCATCATACTCCTTTCTCGAAATTGTAATTTTATCGGCATCTCGAGAAGCATCAAAATCACCATCCTCCGAAGCATTCTACACATAAAACAAATAAGTATTTGACGCCCAATCGATCTCTTGAGAAATATCGATATCGACATACGAAGTCAGCTCTGTTGTGGGGTAAAACGGTTAGTGATTGCACGCAGCTAAGACATTGCGTACATCTCGTACAGGGTTTAAGGAAGATCCTTCTTGTTACCTTCTCAGCAAAGCTTCCAAGTAGTTCTTCTCGATAGTCACCATACCATTGTCATCAGAATCCATATTGAAGAGGATGTTGAATGCAATCAAGTATTCAATTTCAAACTGATCTTCAAAGTAGGATAGCAATCCAATTCAAAATAAAGTGACTCTCTCATGTAATAAGGCTGGATGGAGCTTTCCTTTTTTGATCCTCAATAGTAACCGTTAGAAAGTGCTCAAGCTTGCTCTATGGCCGGGGGTTTGGAGGGACCAAGCTAAGCCACTTCGTTTAATACTTCAAAATGTGAGCCAATCAAAAGATGATGTATATAACTGCCACTAAACTTTAATGAAGCTTGGACTGGAAGTGGGGTGACGTTCATTCTTCCGTCTACATTGCATTGCTCACTAAAAGAGTGGTAAGCAAAGATTTCTTCTGCTTCTCGCCCAGATACGAGATGAATGATATACTAGCCTCCTATTCGACATATCGGGTATATATATCCGTTCTGAGTCCTTTTGAGTCAATATTGGAATCCTACCTATTTTACACATGTAGTCAGATACGAACTACAAATGTAAAGAGACCAGGGTCACCATATATCGAAACCGGGGTCTCGATTACCAGATAAGTCTTTCAATATCCGATGTGCTGGACGCATCTCTTCTACTGCAACATTGCACGATAAGATTTAAAGAAGTGGAGTAGTGGTGAAAGACTCTCAGATTGGTGGATATGGATATGGAACTCGGATAGATGATTTCGGAGTTCGGTTACCTTCAGGACTACTTGCAGTTTTAATCTGCAGCCCTGTTCGGAAGGTCATCTCTTTTGGGTTAGTGAGGTTGTCGAGAGTTGGGAAGTTGCTTGCGTGCGGGTGCTTGTAGGGTTTTATTCCTTTTTTTCATTGTAATGTAGCTGGATACCAGTGAGTACTTGACTGTTGTTAAAATCTTGAGGATATAATCATACGAAGTCAAAAATGACATCAGAGGAGCGGCCCGCACTTAGTGATGTGTTTGGCAGCTCGAGCTCCTTCATTCTGTTAGTGTTTCACTTCCTAGAAAGCTGCTAGTAAAGCAATCAGGAACAGAAACAGTATCGGTTGCGTTGTAAAATTTGCTGTCATTCTCTTTGTTTAACCATCGTCTATTATTATGTTAAACCAGTTTTACTTCTTTCATTCATTACTCTTTGTTCAATATGCTTAGTAAGGAAACCTTAACCAGAGTATGAACCTCTCTCAGAGTCTCTTGTCTAGATTGACAACCGTTGCTTTACCCATAGGGAGTTTGAAATTATAGATCAAGCCTTCAAACATCCCGCAATCGGCTTTTTGAACCCTACCAAAGTCGACGCATCTGTCCCCATCTGCTACAAAATGTCATCCCGTTCCTCCCCCGCTCCCAATACCAAATCTGACACCCAAGTAAGCTTGATCGAATCTTTAGCCTCTCCATTACAATACACGAGACTCCGCATCCACACAGACCTCCCCCTCCCTCTCCCCATCAAAATCTCGCTGACCTCTCCCTCTCCCCCTCCCAGTGGCTCCACGATCTCGGCTACCCCACCGGCTTCCAATCCTTCAAACTCGACTACGGCTTCTCACCCGACGATGCACAAGACCATCTCGATGCTCTGCACCTCTTCCACCAATTCCGCACCGAACAGCAAGAAATGTGGGAAAAGAGACATCCCTCATATTCACTCTCACACTCATACTCATATTCGCATTCACAATCACATTCTGCAAGCACTAAAACTGCAACTGAAACTGAGACTGAGACCAAAACCAATGTAAAAACCAACGTAAAATCGAAATCGACATCAAAACTAGTAATCAGAGATTCACATACGTGCACAAGCACGAGTGTGTCTGTTTTTTCTTGCCGGGATTCGACTAGTGAAGAGAGGGAGAAATGTATGAAGAAGTGGGAATAGAGAAATGACGGGGTTGAGAAGCGATCGGGAGAGAAAAGGAAAAGGCCACTGTGGGCATCTCTCTTCGCCCCATGTAATACATCATTTCGTCTACAGAAAATAAGATATTACTTAAATGATTGATTCATTCAATTCTCGATCTACTTATTCATCCAACTAACAATCTAGTAACCTGAAGTAAGAAAGGCAAGCCAATTTTTAATTTTATTCTTCAAAAATCAGACAGGACATGGAAAAGGCCTAGAGGGATAAAAGGCGAAAGCAGTCTTGAAAGCACAACATCAGTTATTGAAACAGCAGAATAAAATCTCCATACCTCCCTTTCTCCCTTCCTTCAAGTCCTCACATTCATATCTCATTCCTAACCACAAAAACAACACACCACCAATAACACCAAACAAAGATTGAAGATTGAAGATGATACATATTTCATTTTTAACACAATATAATACATACACCCCCACCCTCAAAAACCTGCATCCTTTCACTCTACCTCACTCCACTCCATTTCACTTCACTTCGTCTCACCCCCCACCCTCCAAATAATGCAGATTCAAATATCATCAATCATCTCAGCCCCATCCAGCCAAGTCACAAGTCCATCTAAAGTAAATCCGTCGCCGCAAATGCTATTTATTTCACAAAACAGAATAGGAGAGTGAAGTTTGGTTTTTTGCCTGAATCGTAGCCCTTTCTTTCTTTCTTCCATTTTCTCTTCATTGATTCATTGGCATATTTTGATATACCCTTCCCCGTCCCTGCCTTTCATTCAAGATATCTCGTGGTGGATATCCCATCCTATACAAATCTCCATTCTTCCAAGCTCCTCCCCAATGCCTTCTCAAATCCTATTCTCCATCGACCTTTAAGCAAGAGGAGTAGGGTCTTCAGTTGGCAAATCCGTACTCTCCGTCGCCGGTGGTGGCGGCGCACTCTTTCCTAACGATCCTCCACCGAAGTACTTGATGAAATCCTTGTTCTCATCAAATGGTCTTGGTCCCAGTAATCTCACCATATCATCTCTACCGAGCACTTCCTTCGCCAAAAGCTCCTCTGCAATGATACCCACTTCGTCCTTCTTCTCCACCAGTAAGTTTCTGCATTTCTCATATGCTTCATCGACTATACGTCGAACTTCTGAATCAATAGTTTGGGCCGTCGATTCGGCGAAAGGTTTCATCAGTTGATTTTCTCTGTCAGTCTCGAAATGGAGGGGGCCCAGTTTCTTAGACATGCCCCATTTAGTTACCATGGCGGTAGCCATGCGAGTAACCTTGTTGAAGTCGTCACTAGCACCACTGGTGACGGTTTCGAAGTGGAGTTCTTCTGATACACGTCCACCGAGAGTCATTGCCATACGATCCATAAGTTGGTTGACATTCATGAGATAAGTGTCGCCAGCAGGGAGGTATTGTGCGTATCCGAGGGCACCTTGTCCACGAGGAATGATGGAAACCTTGAGAAGTGGATCAGCCCACTTGAAGTACCAACCGCAAATTGCGTGGCCTGCTTCATGGTAGGCAACTGTCTTCTTCTCTTCTGGTGATAGAACAAGAGATTTCTTCTCAAGACCACCAATAACACGCTCAATAGCTTGTTCAAAGTGTAACATAGCTACAGATTTGGCTTGTGTTCGGGCAGCTATTTAAAATTAGTAATAGTCAAAAATTAAGAGAGGGAATAATTACCAATCAAAGCAGCTTCATTGACACAGTTGGCAATATCAGCACCAGAGAAACCTGGAGTCAAGGCTGACAATCGTCCAGTCAAGTACTCAATATTCTCATTGGTAACAATCTTGCCCAAGTGAACCTTGAAGATTTGCTTTCTACCATCCATGGTCGGCCTGTCGATAGAGATGTGTCTATCAAAACGACCAGGTCTCATTAGAGCCTTGTCGAGTACGTCGGGTCTATTGGTACCAGCAAGAACAACAATTTGCTCAGTCGTGTTGAAACCGTCCATCTCGGTCAAAATTTGATTGAGTGTGGCTTCCCGTTCATCGTTTCCACCTCCAGAAAACCCACCAGACTTTCCACGAGACTTTCCGATAGCATCGATTTCATCAATGAAGATAATACAAGGTGTACTCTTTCTGGCCATAGCGAAAAGATCCCGAACTCTCGATGCTCCAACACCAACAAACATCTCGACGAATTCGGAACCACTGACACTAAAGAATGGTACTTGAGATTCACCAGCTGTTGCCTTTGCCAACAAAGTTTTACCAGTACCTGGTGGTCCAGAAAGAATAGCACCGCGAGGGATTTTAGCACCTAGACGTTGGAATTGCTCAGGTGTCTTTAGGAAGGAGACAAACTCCATAATTTCCAGCTTTGCTTCATCCATACCGGCAACATCCTTAAACTTAACCTTTACATCAGTCTCGTGATTGAATTGCTTTGCTCGACTTTTTCCCATTCCAAAAATGCCACTGTTGCCTCCAGCACCTGCCGAAGCTCGCCTTGACATGTAGAAAATAGCACCAATGAACAAAAGTGTAGGACCGAAAGAGTAGATAAGAGCCCATGTATCTCCATCACTAGCGTAACCAATTGGTATCCTCTCAGCAACAGGTATTCCTAGCTCGTTTTGTGCTTGTTCCATTCTTTGCTCAAAACCTTCGGCAGAACCTATCGAGAAATAGTAATGAAAGTTGGGGTTACCGGCAGGAGAGTCTGGATACATCGCAGCAGCGGCCTCAGTGTGAAGATCAACCCGGACCTCCGACTTGTTAACCACAGTCAATCTTTTGACCAACCCTTTGTCAAAGAAGTTATTTCGGAATTCCTGGAATGTGATATCCTTCTTGTTGGTGCCGGGGAAGAGTGTCTGCCATAGGAAGTATGTTGCGAAAGATCCAATCAATAAGGTTGTAGTATCGAGTTTGATCTCCGTCGAGTTGCCAAAGTTGAAGCTTTCGTGCTGATTGCCTTTCTTGCTACCCTGCTTTCCATCCTGCCCCTGCTTCTGGTCTCCTTTGTTACCATTTGTAGAAGATCCTGGCTCGTTTGAATTGAAATTTGTTCCCTGTGACTGTTGTGTCTGTGATTGGACCTTTGCAGCGGACCACGCCATCTGCAACACCAGTTTTGTAAATTTTGCAGCTTCCGTCAAAGTCATCGGTCTACCCTTCACTTCGTTCATCAAATCTCTTAATTCAGATGGCACGCCTGCCTTATTTATAGCCTTCAAAGCTTCCCTCAATTCTTGAGTTTGGCCTTTTCCAAATTGCATAGAAGCAATTACTTGCTCTAGCTGCTTCATCTCCTCCTCCGTTAACTTCACATACCCCTCAACCAGCGGTGACTCCTGTGGTTCCGCACCGTTCTCCGAGGGGGATAAAGGAGTCTTTCCATTGTAGAGGTTTTCCGTCCCGGGGGCGGGCTTGGCGGGTGGTTCTGACGATTTTTGATTTTTCGACTTTACCTCCGACTCATCCTTTCCCGTGTCCTTGTCTGGCTTTGGCGGCTTAGTGACGAATGTGCGCGCTCTTTGTGCAGCTATCCGCGACCGTAATAAGGGTGCTGTCGATGATGTACGGAGGGAATTTCGTGCGGCAGATTGGACGGTGGTCTGAGAAATTCTAGCAAGAGAGCTGCATTGTCGTAATATTGATGTCATGCTTGGCTAGAGCTGTAAGTGTGGTATTTGGGATATAAACGTGGTCTAGAGTCACTGGGAATGACTTGCCGTGACGTTGACCACTATTTACGAAGGTTTGAGAGTGTATTCAAAGTGGCTTGTGGATGTCGGAGTTAGAGGTGGGAGGCAAATCATTATGATGCCTCGATTATGAGCTTGATTGATTACACCACTAGCGCAATTTTGATATCGAAACTCAAAGATATATTGATACTGATATTTAATAAATCTTATTAATCTCTGGACATATTTTATTTCCTAATGATAATCGATCACAAAAATAATATTGAAATAACTGACTAACTTTTATTATTTTACATTCATGTAATTGTTCAAAATTAATAGTACAAGCCTATTTTACGTATTTCAAAGCAAGTCATTAGAGTACATTGGTTAGGCATAATGAAGCCTTGCAGTAACATGATCTGAGGAGATACCACTTTACACCATCCCTAAGAGCCTCTTATAAAGCTAAAGGTAATCATCCCTAAGCCAGCCGAATCCTCCCAGAAAGCGCCGTAACCATCATGCAAAGCGAGTGCTATGAGTCCTTAATTTTTGCCGATGTAACCCCCTCCTATACCCAGTACTATTGTAACACCTTGATCTCCAGATATTTTCCTAGATGGGAACGCCAAATCCTTTGTTTACATTCCCCCACCTTGATTTTGTAGATGTGAATTATCGTTCATATGAAGATTAGGGTCTCCCATAACGCCATTTTCGAAACTTTGATATGTGCCCCCTGTCATTTCTGCCCAGTCCCATTCAAGGGTCATTGGCATCTGCCAAAGATCCTGAGGAACAAAAGGTTGCTGAAAAGAATTTGGATTTAATGGGGAGTTGAACTCATTTCCATTCGTAAAGCCTTGAACACTTCCAAATGGTGACCCTGTATTTTGTCCCATAAAATCACCTCCAGAAGGACAGAAGTCAGATTGCCAACTAGAGCTCGGAGAAGCTCCTTGCATGGGGCTAAACCCATTCTGAAAATTCATCTGGTTCGTTGAGTTAGGAGAGAAGACTCCAGGCATGGGGGATCGAGGATGGTTCATAGGGGTTTTTGGTTGGCCGGACCTAGGCATATGTGATGCTCTGGTCGAATCATCGCCACTCTTTCGTTTTCTTCTTGAAGATGTCTCCTTTTCTGCTTTATCCAAAACGACTTTTGCTATCCTCTCGAACTCTGAACAGACTCCAAGCATGCGTTTCACACCTCCATTCTCTTCCTCGGTGCCCAGCATTGAAAGGAAGTTAACCACGAGGTTCATAAGACGAACATCAGAACGTGCCCGGGGATCTTGAGGATTTTGTAGAATGTTACCGAAGAGTGTTACAAGCGCAGAAACGGGGAAGTAGAGAATGAGCCTAAGTATGTCAGCTTATAACTAATGTAAGGCGTGAATCTAACTTACCAAACACAAGCGAAGTCGCCCTGAGGGACATACTTGATAAGATGTATGGATGCCCGAGCAGCAGATACACACAATGCGGCCGAGGAAAAGACACGAGGATTTAGAGGTCTAGCATTCAGGCCTTGAATAGCGTAATTAGAAAGACGGCTAGTCCAATATCCGTGGTGAACAGACATTCGGTGAATCGTAGTGAGGCAATTATAGTAAGCGAAATGAAGAACAACAACATGGAGAATTAATGGGGTATGCGAAGCCTTGATCTCATGCTCTGGACGAAAGTCGACCGGGATACTGTCTTTCCATTCTTCAAGTTGAGAATCAAGCTCTCCTATGGTGTTGAGAAGTTCTCCATCTGATTGTTTTGAGGCCTTAGTCGAATAAAGCTGCTTGTATACTCTGCTCTCGATCATTGAAAATTCACACATCAGGCGGAAAAGATTTACTTTTCCTTTTCCATCGGCTAGAGGGATATTACCAATGTTATCTTCAGGGTCAGCGCTCGGTAATTCGACATGCATATCATCGTCATCTTGCGCAGGAGGTCTTCCTGAGCGTAAGCAGATATCTTTGTCTAGCATGTATCCTATCCAAAATACACGTTTGCGTTGCTCAATCTCAACCGGATTGAGATTGAAGCCAGATCCACGTTTATGAAGACCAATACTGTGTGAGAGTCGAATGGCTGCTGCTACAAGAAAGAAAGAAGGCTGCGGATTTGGTGTACCCTGCATGAACAAAGCCATTCCCAACAAAGCTTGTACGCTGAGTAAATCAGTATTCCGCATCGTGAGCTCAGTGAAAACGCCCATGGCATTCTTGAGGTAGCCCCAAGCTTTTGTGTCTTCCTCTTGTGGCACGAGATGACTCATGACACGGAGACGATGAGCAATGGCAAGGGCACAGTTGAGACTTGCCCACCATCCGGAGCCTTCATAAGGATCACTAGAGTATTGTCGATCGACCAAATGCATGAAAGTAGGTTGGTGAAAAAGGGGAAACATGCAATTAAAATTTTCAAAAAAGTCCTTGAGTAAGGACACGCACTCGTTTTTGGGAGGAAGTTGCCTCCATATCGGTCGTGCAAACAAATCCGAGAATACTTCCGGCTTCCAATACATCATCTTATTATCGTCCACGGAAGCGGAAGATATCATCTCTTGAAAGGATGAATCGCCTGTTTTCTCATTGACCCATGAGATGCCCTTTGGCGAAAATATGGAGAACCCAGACGATGATCCTGAACTGGTTAGTATAGCTCATCTTCAATAAACAGAGTTCCCTACCTATGTATCTTGTTTCTCCGCAGTTATTTGTGATTAAGGAGCACATCATATCTGAAAGCGCCTCGACGGGCTCCCCATTTGCATCAGTCTCTCCACTTTTACTGTCTTTGCTATGTCGCTTCTCGGACTCTTTATTTGGTTCCGGCGATGCGATAGTACTATTAGGGGTCGATCCATTCGCTTCGGGCGGACCACCTGGGGTACTTTGAGTCGGAGACGTTGCGCTCGAAGCAGGCACAGCAGATGCTCTTCGCGATTGATTCTTTTCCTGTAATATCTTCTCCAATGTTCCCAGATCCGTTCGCCCGCCATCTTCTTCGTTAAGGAGGCCTAAACATTATCCGTCAATCATTAAACATAAGAGAACATGCCTAAGTTGATGAGACAAACCAGATAGCTTCAACAAACTTTCCATGCGACCTAGACGATTCTCGAGGCCCTCGATATATTTCGCTCTGTCTGGGAATCAGCGGCCAAGATTCGCAGCCAAAATAACACACTGTTTAACTGAAATGCTTACCCTTTGGGGGATTCCTCTTCTTCTCGACCTGCGTAAAGACACATTCTGTTTTGTAGTTGATACAATGCGTACAAGCTGGTAACTTTCCATCGCATTTGATCTTCTTTTTCCGGCACATATCGCAAGCCTGCCATCGTCAGCCTTTCTGTCTCTTTCACTTTACTTGGCAGAACTTTTGTTCGTACCCTCGCTATCCTCCGTCGCTTTGCCTCGTTGCTTTCATCGAGAAGGGTTCCATCTCCAAAAATTGGACCATTCAAATCGGGTAATGTCGAAACCGGTACACCATCTGCATTGTAAGCCCCGAATATCTGAGGCGGGGGGTTCATTATGGGCGGTGCAGAGATCTGGGGCATGAAAGTATTGGTGTCATGGTGCATGGAATCCATCATCGTTGACTATCGCATAGTAATCAAGTCGACTTGGAATAAAAGCGCAAGTAACTGGAGTTGTTTGGCAGGCCCCCCGTTAAATCATCCAAGTCGATGTTGATTCGTATTCGTACAAGCCTCTTGAAGCAGTTGCCAGGAACCGGACTTTGTGTGAGATTCCGCTTAATCGCAGTGTGTACTAATTCTCAAGTCTAGGTCGTGTATTGGGTGCCGAAATTCCTTTGTGACTGGGGCGCTGTTTGTGGATCCTGAAGGCTCAGTGGCCTGATGACGACTGAATTGATTATATAGTGGGATGAGACGAGATGAGATCTGATATAGTGTGGTGCCAAATAAAGAGTTGAAAGAGCCAGGAAATGTATTGCGATTCAGACTTTTCGAGGAAAAGGCGAAGTAAGTAATGCCTGCCAGTAGAGTAGTGTTGAGGGGTTGCTTCGGCCGACAAGACCGACCTTAGGGGTATTTATTTATGGTCTAAGCTTTCCGAAACTTTCAAAAGACGATTATCATAATGATTATAAACTGTGACTTCGAGGGGCAAAGGGCAACGAGGACAAAAGGGAGACCGAGAAAGATATGGGGAAGCAGGAGAATGGATGAAGGGAAGTCAATGGGAAAAGAAAGGCATTGTCTCGTTATCTCGCTATCTCGCCATCTGAAATTCAAAGTGTTGCATCACACAAACCAGGCAAGGAGTCTTTTGATCACCGATCATCTCACGACTCATATCACCGATTATTATTTCAAGCTATCGGCGCTACCCCCATCTCAAGATAATCCATGATTGACTAAGCACTATTTTTCTGGCAAGAAGATTCGAGGTATAGTCAGTACTCAGTAGATAGGTAGGTATTCAACACATTACCTATTAGAGTTCGCGTGGGTACAATTACCACCTAGGAAGTATGTCATTACAATACCTACAAAAGATGTTGAATTTTAGAGTTCAAGCAAGCTGCCCTGGAAAGGGTTTTTTGATCTACGGACATCGGATAGTAGCTTCAAGGAATCTCCGATTTACCGGTTGATCATGTACAGATCCCGGAGCTAATAACTCTTCGAAGTTTACTGGTCTCCTGGCCGGCCCGCCCTTTCTCTCGTACTTCATTCAAATCGTACTGCTGTACCACTCAATGGCTTTCATCACATGGCCATATTGATCCAATGTCTTCCATTTTGATTTCGTTCGTGTCCCACATTGAGCACAACTCTCTAAATCCGCCGATACTACGGTAACAAAGTCTAGACGCTATCGGCCAATGCGGGGTTAAAGACACCTCACATCTGTATGAACCAATGAATTCTCTACATAATTTGACCTGTTACACTGCTGAAACGAGTGGGAGACCTTATCGGCCCCAACCCAGAACCTAACAACCTCGCTTGGACTCAAAAGGGTATACATCACTGCAGCATCACACATACATAGCCACTCTAATGTTGGTGTGCATCTGAATCTGGCACTTTTTCAATTCTTCAAATCATCACATCCAAGAAAATCACCATGCACAGTGCATCTAAGCTTCAAAATGACACGCTGGGTTTCATACATAAAAAGACATTATCTTTTATTCCATCCTCTTTGATCTTGTAACCTAGCTATTCGCCTGCTGCTATAAAAGTGGCGCCTATATTATCCAACAAGATCATCTACTTTACTCCAAGGAAAAGAACAAGTATCAGTTATGGACTGATCTCAGGAGAAATGGCTATCCTAAATCAACTACCCCCTCCCCCTGAATATTGCCGAGAGGCATCATAACGTAAGAAGCAGCAAATCAGATAAATCTCCACGCGCTCACTGGTATCAAAAATCCTGCATATCAGGAAAAAAACGCCAAACCCAATGCAGAGTTGCAGCAGATATCCAAGGACTACCCAAAAAGGTAATTCCAAAAAAAAAGCTGCACAACAACTACTAGAAAGCGAAACCCTTCACATTTATCCATGCCAATGATCCCCCAGGATCTCTCCCAAAATATGCCAAGAATTCTTATTTCAGACTTCTTCTGTAAATCTTGAGGGATGGGAGCCATCTTGTGAGGGGTGTGAGCGACCCAGAAGATCCGGCCTAGGCGGGGTAGCTACGGGTGGTTCTGCAAACGGGCCATGTTCTGTAACGGGGGTTCTTGCGGGACTAGGTCTCATGACTGGGACTCCGGAGTCTCTATTTGGGGGTTCGAGAGGTGGGCTTGGTTGTCCTCCATAAAATCCCTGAGAATCTCGGTAGAACGAGGTGCCACTCAAAGTATTCGAGTTAGGGATAGGAGGCACTCCAGAGGGATAGAAGGAAGATCCGCTCAATGTGTTTGGATTTGGTTCAGCATAACCGTCACCTCCATGTTGTAAAACAGAGGGAAGCTTCTTACCAGATACTCTGTAGAAGCCTCTTTCACTGCCTGCTGAGGAGATTGTATTAGTTGCTGTATTTTGAGAGGATCGCTTATTTTTCGAGAGACTGGCCAGCGCTGCAGGTACGGCCATAGCGAGTGATCTACGCTCTGTCATACTACGGGGAGCTTGATTAGAGAAACCTCGGGCTTGGTTTGCCGAATCGCTGCCGCCATTCCCACCAGCTCCTCCACTACTTCCACCACCTGCAACCGCCGAAGGAGGTACACTTCCAAGAGATAGCATGCCACCATTCTTCTTCTTCCATCTCAATACAAACATCAGAAGAAACAAAATTGCAGCAAGGCCAGCTACTCCACCAACTACACCTCCAACTATTGTGGATGTCGATGGCGTTGAAGTATTATCTGTTCCATTACCACTGCTACCACTCCCAGCAACGGCAGTATTTGTAGCGCCACTACCCCCAGATGCCGAACCAGTACCAGTACCTCCCCCAACGTAAACACCACTGCTGGTCGAATCTGTTTGAGATGGCGAGGATGATGACGAAAATGTGTTCGAGTCTGAGATCGAAGACGTTGACGATGCGGCCGAAGAAAGAAACGGAGATGATGATAAAAACGAAGACGTTATCGTCGATGCGAAAGTTTCGAATGAGGATGTCGAAGTTGAACCAGCAAAAGGAATTGCGGTAGTATTAGTTGTGGGCGATGTAGACGATGTAGACGATGTGGATGTTGTGGATGATGTGGATGATGAGGAGGAAATTGAAGGAGAAGCGGTTGCATTTGAAAATAATGTTGTAGAACTTGAAAATGTACCTGAAATCGAAATCGACACTGATACTGAGACTGGAGTCGAATTCGGAATTGAGCTAGAAATTACTAATATCATACCATTAACACATTGTTTCCAAAAATGATTTGAAAGTTTAACTTACATGTAGTTGAATTAGAATTAGGAGTGAAAGTAGAAAAGCTAGTGGAAGGAGTGGAAGTCGAAGTCACATCAGTGCTCGATGGTAACGATAGGACGACTTGGCCAGATGATGTAGCTTGCGCCCCGAGATCTGTAGAAAGTGTGGAAGTGATATCTGCACTCGTACTCGAAGAAGTCGAGGGTGTTGTTGTTGCTGCGGGCTGTATGTTCAAAGACGAGTAGTCACTTGCTGGAAGGGTCTGGACCGCGAGCGTCGATCCATCGCTATCGACATCAACCTGCTGGACGACGGATATTGTCTGATAGACTTCTGTTATAGCGGAAGCTTCAGCCGTTGCCGTTTCAATGGCAGTCGTTTGACGTTTGTTGTGGAATTTTTGGTGTTGTTTTAAATGATTGTGGTGAGATTGCCCATATGCATGCTCGTGTCTGGCCAGAAAGAGTGATGGCTCAGCGTCGTTCATGGCGTTGCCCTTTTTGTTGCAGCTGCGTCTACAGCGCTCAATGGGTAAAGCTAATTGTTCAAAAGAGTGACTTCCGCCGACTTGGGCAGTTTAATATTTACAACTTCGACGTCACCCTCATTGCCGTCGTCATGGAAAAAGAGGGCTGTTGATATTTTTTTTGTGTTTTCGTGAGAAGGGTAGGGAGGAGGTAGGTTGGGTTGGGGGTGAGAGTAAAAAAGTGAATATTGATAGTAGTTTACAAAAGTACAGGACCGGACAGGCTCACAAGCTTCACAGGATCACACAACATTTCTTCGCTCAGGTACGACAGATCCACTTTTGGTTAGCTTGGCTTAGCACGGGCCAAGAACCAATTTCCAATTTCGCTAGAGTTACCTTTGGTCCTTTTTAAAGGTTCGTGAATAGTCAGGCTGACGAATTATCTCTCCTGTTGGAAATTTTATCCTCAAGGATTGTAAAAGTGGAGCCCCAGGTAAATGAATCAATTGTCCAATTATTGTATTAATAGAGGGCGAGGAGGGAGAGGAGGGCGAGAGGAGAGAGGGACGGAGAAGAAAAGAAAATTAAATCAACATGGCAACTGATGGCAGTTATCGAATAATAAGCACGAGGCTCCAAGGGTTCCCGGCCATTTTATGGGGAACAAAACGTATTTTGTCTCTGCTGCTTTTGTTGTTTTGGTTGTCTGGTGTAAACTTGTCTCTGAGCCGTTTCTTTCGTCCCATAATTATCATTCTGCAAAATGTTCTAGGTTCGCAAATACGGCTCGGGCAACGGGGGTCATGCGTGAATCTCTGCGCTGTGTAGTTCTAATTATCAATAAGATGAGGGTGGAATCGATGATAGAGTGTGCACAGTGGATGAAGAGGCTCAGAGGGTGGGTGTTGACTTGGTAATGATCGATAATCCGGGATTCGATGGCTTGGGTAACCATTCATATTGCGCAGTGCGCGGATTACTTGAAGGAGCAAAGTGCCTGGTCTCTACCTAGTACCTGGGTAAACAAATGGTAACTGTCGAGACCCCAGAGAATTAATCAAATCACATTGATTATCGTCAACGTGTGGATCGCTGCAAAGAATATACAAACTACAGTAGCCTCAGAATGTACGTGCCCCCTTATTATGTGGGTAAAGATTGAAGACTAGAGAGTGAAGGCGAGAGACTAGAATCGAG